TACAATATCACGCACAAGTTTATAATATAGCTACTGTTTAATTAAAACAATTTAATTTAATAAAGACATTTCTTTATCTTAATTAGAGATAAGCACTGAAACCTAAGTTACTGACAATGAGACACGAGACGACTATTTCAAAAAATATATTTAAAAAAAAAAAATTTATATGAACTTCCGGAACATTAATTTTGATATTCGAAATCACATTGAGATTAAAAACGATGGAAAATGTTCATTAATATATTTATCAACATTGTCAATGAAAGTGAAATAAAAATTAAATGTTTTTTTTTCTTCCATATACCCTCTTACGTAATGATTTACGTTCTGGTCAATAAATTCAATGTCCGTTAATCATTGTCCCTTTGTTGAAAGAATCGAGTAATACTATTCTTGCGGAAAGTATATTGCTCCCCCACTTCTCTTTTCCTAATTATCACCTCGAGGAGCTTCCCCTCTCTCTTTTAACGATTAGCGAGTGCGTAGGGCGAGTATTATTTGCAGGGTGCATTTCTATATAACGGTTTTGCGAGCAAGATTTTTTTTTCTCTCCTATATATTAGCAAAAAAAAAATGATTCAAACAAATCATCATGGTTTTGAACTGTCACAAGGGGGGGCTTTTTTCCCCTCACAAATTTTTTTTTTTTTCTTTCTTTTTCAGGAAGGGGAAACCTGACACACAAGTCTTTCAACAAGTTTTAACAGCACAACAAAGAAACGATGTGTAAGCAGCCTCTCAAAAATAAACCTCAATTATGAAATACGTGCAAGAATTTAATTTTTTTTTTTTTTTTTTTTGTACAAAAATTACATAAATACACTGAAACTTGAGTTAGTGAGACAGTCTCGTGTCTCAATAAAAAACGAGTTCTAGTGTATTTCTTTTTATTAATCCTATAATTATTAATAAATAAATTTTATTAATAAAAAAAATAATTCTATATAATCAATTAATAATTAATGAAAAATGACAATTTTTATAAACTCCGTTAATTATTGGTAAATATCGTGTTATTCAATTTAACGACAAACGAAGAAGGGAGAAATATGAATCTGGTGCTTGTCAGGTTTCCACGTGACATGGAACCCTCCCTCCCGTCATTCAATTCTTTTCCTATCTCACTTTTTCTCCTTGCCTCTTTATATTTGACTACCTTCTCTCGATATGCTTTTTCCTTGACATATACACAACGTTTTCGCCCCCCCCCTTCCCCTCTCCTCAAGAAAAAGACGCCCTTCTTATAATTCGTCATTCGAGCACGGAAATAAAAGGGGATCTCATTTCCGGTTGACTGAATTTTCTTCCAAGTATATCCGGCATGGGCAAGCAGCGGAAGTGTAACGCGCAAAATTTTTTTTTTTTTTTTTTTTTTTTTCAAGAGATCCTGATTCGCATTCTTATGTATATACATATAAATATAAGAAGCAAGAGAGGATTGGTGAAGGAAAAAAAAATAAAACAAAGAAGGGCGGAAGAGGCGATAAATTTCCCTTTAAGGCGCAGAACCAGCTGCCTTGGGCATTTTATAAACTGAAATAAGTTATCAGACGTCTGGTCACATGCTCACTCATTGATATATATTTATGAAAAAAAAAGAACCCGTCAAGCATAAAAGACAGATAAGGTGCAAATTACCATGTTTAAAATGGATACGAAAATTTTTTACTATTTTTTTTTATGAATTATAATAATTTAATTATACATATAATAAAAAAATATGCTTTTTTATTATATATATATAATAATATATAATATTATATATAATATATATATATTATATATAATATTATTATTATTAATAATAAAAATAAAAAAAAGAAATAAAAAATATAAATTAAAGAACAATTTTTTTAAATAAAATGTTTTTTTAATTTTATATTTTTCAAATTGTTTGTTAATCATGCTCTCAAAGGATTATTGCACCTCAAAGGATGATATTTATAATAAAAATCGCAGAGACGCTTTTTTTTATTATTGTTCCAATATATATATAAATGATATTGAAAAGCGCTCTGAATGGAACAATGCGGATTTATCTTCCTGTGTCTTATAATCCGACAGAAAAATTAATCGAATCGTGTCTGCACTGAAGATTACAATAGTACACACTTGATCATGGGGATATGAGTATTTTCTTGTAGAAGGTAATCGTGATCGTTAATTCAGGGCTGAGAGAGTGTAAAATTGTAAAGTAAAATTTATGGGAGGACAACTATAACGAGTGACATGATATGTTTATACATCCACTGAACTATATATATACATTTCCCACACACACTCCATGTATATTAAAATTCATTTTTTATTTATATAAACTCAATATTACTATTAAATAAAAGAAAATGAATTTTATATAAAAAAAAACTACAATATTAATAATATTTAAAAAAATAAATAAAACCGAAACTTGTTACAAAATACTTTCTTATCTTGATGAGAATGTAAAAAAATTGTTTGTATTTTGATTATAATTAGATTTATTTTCTCAATAATGAAAAAATTAAAAAAAAAATTACTACTTAAAATAGAAAGAAAAAAAAATTAAATTGCGAAAAATTAAAATTGAATTCTGTTATCATGCTAAACAGATACACTCCGGATGATGAAAAATAATGTATCATTACGGTAATAATCGACATTATTCATTTTTTTTTTTTTTTTTTTTTTTTGCAGAAATCGAAGGCCAAGTGGATATTAGTCATAGTTACATGCTCGTTGATGAGAATTTAAGTTTATTATCGTCGAGTCTATACATCTATCTAGAGAAACATGTATAATCTATTAAGCAAAAAAATATATATGTATATATGTATCAGAAAATAGTAAAGCAAACGTGAAAACAAGCACGTAGGAGTATGATTTAGATACAGTTAAAAAAAGAATTTTTTTCATTCTATAAATGCTTTTTTAATTTTTTTAATTTAATTTTTCAAGTCTATTATATCATCAAATCTTTAAATTTATGTCAAAAGTTCCTTAAAAAAAAAAGAAAAAAATAAAATGAAAATTCATTATAACAAAATTCAACAAAGTTTGTATATACGCAAACTCTAATAGGGGGATTTACATATACAAAATCACATCGCAGACTCTATCGAGAAACCATCAGCTGCATTTTCCGCATGAAAACAGAAAAAAATACAACTATATGTTCCGGAAAATTTTACCAGGAAAATCATATCGGTTTTTCCCGGGAAAATGGACGTATCTCTTGAACGTATATGCCATACCCGAAGTTTTCGGATCTTTCAGTATATAACAAGGTATTCCACTCAACGCAGAGAAAAAAAAAAAAAAAAAAGTAAATCGAAGTCTGTGTGTCTAGCGCGTCGTCGAGATCGACGACCGGAAAAATGAATCTCATTTCGAAAAACACGACCCAAAACCTCTCTCTTTCAATATTTAACTAAATTTCATCCCTAATTATTCCTATAACGAAAAAAAAACACTATAAAGGAAATCGAAAAAAGCCCACTGAAACAGGAAACCTAACAAATAAAAAATATACTATATATAAAAGAAATGCAGCAATCTCGGAAACTGAAAACCAAATATTTGTCACAATGGAAAAAAAAAAATTTTCATGAAAACTTTCACGGTAATCTGAAACCGACAATTTTTTCTTTTTCAACAAAGAGCGATTTTCTTTAAAAATTATTTCTCAAAAAAATCTTCAAAAAAAAAAAAAAATCTACATGAAAATTTCCAGGAAATATTTTTCACAACATATGCCGACCATTACAGTCAAATAATTTCAGATAAAAAGGAAAAATATTACACAAAAAAAAAAAGATTTCTCAAATCATTTCACCAGAAAAGAGGAAATCTAAAAATTTGTATATTCAACAAAGAATAATAACAAGGTTGCAGAGAGAGAGAGAGAGAGAGAGAGAGAGAAAAATATTCAAACGCGCGATTACTTAACAAGCCGCAGGTATAAAAATTCTACGCGCAAAGCATTGAGTTACATTTTTTTTTAAGCCATAAGGTGTCGAATTGCCTTAACTCTATATTCTTTAATAAAAGTCTACAGCACAACAAAAAAATAATACAAACATACTCAAGGAAAAAAGTTTAGTCTAAACCCAAAAAACAGTTGAATTAATAAACTTTTTGATAAAATAAAAAAAAAAAAAACAAAAAAATGTTTTATCAATGTAAATTTGCTTCCTATTACATAATAAATGGATTTCGAGCAAAACAACAAATTCAACGAAATTTTTTTTTTTGTTAATTAAAACAAAAATTTCCTTGATTTAAATAAATTTTTTTTTTGTATAGATTTTATTTCAAATCTATAAAATAAAAAATTTACAATTTCAAAGGGAAGTTCAAAAATGTTTTGTCAAAATTCGTGTCTAAAAATGTCACAATTTTTTATTTCGTAACTGATGCAGTAGTGAGAAATTTCTTGAGAAAATCGTAAACTCTCTCGTCTATTCACGCAACAATTCGTAATCGACAAATTGACATGTCTGCACGGTTTTATACATTTACCAATTCCTCGCAAATTTATATATATATATATATACTCTGCACACATGCTACCAGGAAGAAGTTCAATCGTTTCTCATTTACGAGAATGGAATTTTTATTCACGTATTATATATATATATATATATATATATATATATATATATATATATATATATATTGCCCAGAACGAAAGTGATTCGCGAATTAAATAACTTTCTAGCAAATCTCATTTATATACAATTTTACCGCATAGAGAATGTTTAATTCGTTACAATTTGGAAACGTTAAATTCCACTTTAATCAAATTAACAGAAATTTCAAACAAATTATTTATAATACATAAATTTTTTCATCTGAAGTTGTAAAATAAAATTAAAAAAATTTTAAGAAAAAATATTAATAACTTTAGTTTTATTATTTTTAAAAATTATTCCTCTATTAATGGGAGGATCCTTTCAAGAGGATATTTATATACTTTTCTCAATGAATCATAAATAATATAAATTAAATTAAATTACCTTCAAGTTCCATTTCAATTTCTGAATCAATTTTTTTTTTCACTTATAATTATCCACATGCGATATGATATGTCTTACCTGCAACAGAAAAAAAAAACAAAAACATTTTTAATAGTTTGTATGCGTTAAATGTTTCATTCTTAAAGATATTCTTATCTTGTAGCCTTGAATTCATATCAGTGTATAATTTGAATCATTCACCAACTACGCAACATGCTTATTATAAAAATCCTTCAAATCTTCGAGAAAAAAAAAAATTGAGTCATTAAAATTCGCCTCGCATTTCAGTATCAACAAAAATTTTTATAAAAAAAAAAAAATAACTGTGAATTATTTTGCAAATTACAAACCTTTTTTTTTATTATTGAGAAAAATAAGGAAAAAATAATTCAATTTATTAAAAATAAAAAAATAAAAAATGGCGAAAAATAATAAGCACAAAAAGAAAAATGATTACAAGTTGATAAGAATCGAAGTTTCTGAATCGTTTTCAAGTCCCTGTGGACCGTTTCATCTTTTTTCAAGACTTATGTGAAAACTTATCCAGCTAATAGAATACCGTCTCTCAAATACTCCCCGAAACTAACTCCTGCTAATACTACTACAACTTTTTTTTTTTTTTTTTTTTTTTTATCTACTGCCATGTCTTATTCCTGACTCTAGTTTCCGGTATATATGTACTTAAAAGGGGCCTTCTCTCACGGAAGAATAAAGACAAAAAATCGAAGGCAAGAAAACGAGAGGGATAAAGAGAAATAAACTAAAAGAGGATTATGTGCTTCCCAAATTTCCCCCCTCCCCCTCTCAGAAACTGACGCACCTGGTTCTCGAAGTAAAGTATTATATGCTTTCTTGTAATGCGAGAGAGTGGAAAGATAAAAAGCTTGAGGGAATGAGAAAGCCGCTCAAAATAATAAAAAAAAAGAAAAAAAAACGAAAGTATACGAGAATAGGGAAAATCGAAAATATGATAATGAAATTTATCCGACAAATTATAAAAGGGATTTAGTACCACCCTTGATAAAAAAAGAATGTTTCCTTTGAGAAATTAGATACAATTTTGCACTGGAAATGAATTTTCTTTTTTTATTTGCAAAAAAAAAAAAAATTGAGATTTTAATTAAAATATTTTTAAATATAATCAGAAACTAATGAGAGGAGATTTTTGCAAATCTTTTCCACTAAGTGGATGGATTACCATCAACATGAAATCTGTCGACTTTTTTTTTTCTTCGTTTTTCATAGCAAAAGTTTTGAGGTTGATTTTATCTCTTGGGAGAGTAGACAAGCGTATCGAATAGCCACTTATTGGATTTAGTAAACGGCGTTTTCTTTTTCAGTTTAGAATTTATATATATATACCGACTGGACTTCATTAGAGTGAGATTAACTTCATCGATATAGAAAAGCCTTCAAGCTACCAGATTTTGCAAATTATTTCTCAAAAAAATTTTCAAAAGGTACAAGTAAAAATATTTACCTTTCAAAAAAAAGCTTAGTGACAAAAATAAATTTTTTCTCACAATAGAAATGTAAACAAATAAATATTTATAATTTAAGGATTTGCAAATCAAGATCTACTACAATAAATAAAAATAATAATATTAATAATAAATTTTCAGTAAATAGCAAATTTTTTGAGACTAAAATTTACTTATTTAATGGGACAAACATAAATCTAAAATAATAATAATATGAACAAATAAAACAACTAGGGAGAAAAAATAAAAAAAAAAAAATTAAATGAAAAATAAACACAGGAATTTTATGTATATAGGAAATGAGTGATTTCGAAATATATTATATATTAATAGCACACGTTCAAACAACTGACGAGTATTCGTCATGTAACGACAAATATTTCTCATAAAATTAATCGGCGTGAAATTGGCATTCTTTTTATCTTTTATGGGCAAAATATATATATAGGTAAGTGTAAATAATGTATCAATAATAATTTCAATTGGTCAATATTAAATATATTAAATATCGGGGAAAAAAAAAAATTGCAAGGAATGAAATAAAAAGTTGCAAATGTTTTAATGCATTGAGAGAGGCAAAGAGAGAGAATTATGGACGTTCCAACATGTAAGAATTCATCGTAACCGGTTCTTTGAGTGGGTTTGGTAGCTGGGGTTCACTCGTATATTTGTACAAAAGATATAGTCACCAGAGAAAATGAAATGCCGATAACCTATTACGATTTCAAACATATACACCAGCAAAAGGTGACTGAAGATCGGAATGTTTCACCTTCTTTTTCTTATTTTTACAAATTTCACAATTTCGTTAATAAACTATTTTTAAAATCTCTATCCCAACATAATTATTTTTATATTAATTTTTTTTTTAAATAAAAAAATAGTTATATTGTTAAAAAAAAAACAATATTTATAATAATTACGATTCTGTTATAGTTGCTATAAAAAATTATAATTATAATTTAGTTAAGATTGTTGGATAAAAAAAAAATAAAATATACTTCCTTTGTTCTTTTATGAAAGTTTTTTGCTACGAAAAAAAAAAATTATAAATAATTTATATTCGGGTTTTTATATAATAATAAAAATGACCGTGTCAGTGTGTCATTAGGGCAGCTCATCATAATGTTGTCTCACTCATTAGGAATCAATTTGTCAAGGTGAATTCTCACGCTAAAACGTGTTTTCTTTTGTTCTGAAATAAAGCGAAACTATTTTCATTATTGTCCTTTACGCTTTATCTTAACATACTGTGTAATTGTTACAAAACTAGGTCTAATTTGAAAATTTACGAGAAAATTCATTGTAAACGAACAGAAATTATATTTAAAAAAAAAAAAAAAAAAACATGAATATGTTAATAAAAAATAACAATAAAAAATTAAATAAATAAAATTTACGTACAAAGAATTTTTTAGCATTTGATAATTTGTTTTGTAAGCTCGTTTACATGTTCATAAATAAATAATAAATAAATAATTAATAAATAAAATAATAAATAACAGTTTTTAATAAAATATTCTCAAATACACTGAAAAAAATGTTTAGTCAGAGCAACCAAAATTTGGTTGGGCTAACAAAAAAATTTTGTTGGTATTTAAGCAACCAAACTGTTTGTTTGAGTCAACCAAAAAATTTGGTTGAGTGTTTTTTGTTGGCATAACAAAAATGTTTGGTTAGCTCAACCAAATTTTTTTTTAGGTCAACAAAAATGTTTGGTTGATCAAACAAACAGTTTTTTTTGTAAAATTAAAAATTTTATTCTACCTTATTTCTTTTCTTTTTATCTTTTTTATTTATTTCATTATTTATTTATTATCAATTTAACATCATTTGGTTTTTTAGACAAAACTATTTTGTTGTGTTAACCAAATTATTTTGTTGTAAACAAATTTTGGTTGGAATTTAAAAATGTTCAACCAAATAATTTTGTTGGCCTAACCAAATGTTTGGTTGAGATAACTCTACGACTTTGTTTCAGCCAACCAAAATTTGGTTACAAAAGAACCAAAATTGCCTAACCAAACAATTTTGTTGCAAACACTAAATTTTTTTTCTCAGTGTAATAGAAAACATTTTTTTAAAAAATTAAGAAAATGTAGCATCATTAAAATGATATTATTCAAGGAAGTATCAATCGTTTACTTTCTCGCGATTAGCAGTGATTTTCACCAATAATGGTTATAATGACAGGTTAGACACGGTTACTTTGTATTGATATGAAAACCACACGCTATGTAACGCTTCTTTCTCTCATATATAATGAACCTACGACCCAGAACACCTGGAGTTCAGGAAGCTGACAAAAAAAAAAAGAGAGAGAGAGAAAGAAGTTTCTTGACAAGCATGCCATTTAAGCGTCAATACAAGTCGCGAACCACGCGCATTATGCTTGCTAATTAAATTAACGCTGTGAAAGCAAGACTATTTTCTCACTATAATACATACATTTGAGAAAGCAGTCATTACAAACTTGGATATATTATTTTTATTACGAAAACACTTCAAAAGGCCAACAGGCTCAAGTGAAATCAATTTGTCAAATATTATATATACACATTATACAAGCTTTCTAACTAACCTTCAATTGAAAATTAATTTTCATTAGTAATAATGATTATTTTTTTCCCTTTTTTTGCAAAAAAAATTTATTTTTTTTTTCATCCTAAACCAATTCACATTTGTTACGTTTGTAAGAAAATATTTATTATATATTAAATAAATATTTTATTTATTCAGAAAAAACTTTATTTATTTAATAAGTAATTTATTTAATACAAAAATTATTTATTTATTAAATAAAAATATTTTGTTCGGACAAATAATTTTTATTTGAATCAAATAAACTGTATTTGAATCAATAATTTTTGTATTTAAAATAACTTTTAATTGACTCAAGTAGTTATTATTTGATACAAATAAATATTTACACAGAAAATTAAAAGGCATTAAAATAAGCTGCTCTCTTAATTTGAATCAGTGAAATTTCACTGGTGAAATAGCTAGAAGTCGGTTACTGAATCATTTAGTGAAATTTTCACTGAAAATCAGTCATATATCACTGATTTCCAGTGAAAATTTTACTAAATGAATCAGTCAATCTGTTTTACCCATTACCGATAATACAGATTGACTGATTCATATAGTGAAATTTTCACTGGAAATCAGTGATATATGACTGATTTTCAGTGAAAATTTCACTAAATGATTCAGTAACCGACTTCTAGCTATTTCACCAGTGAAATTTCACTGATTCAAATTAAGAGAGTGCAACGCTTATTATTTTAATCCAATTTTGCTTATTTTAATCCATTTTGGTATTAAAATAAGCAAAATTGGATTAAAATAATAGGCGTTGCAGCTGATTTTAATGCCTTTTAATTTTCTGTGTATTAGATAATAGTGAAATAAACGATTATTTGAATCAAATAAAAAAATTATTTTTTTCAGTGTAATAATAATAACAATAAAAATGATGATTATTAGTAATTATTGATAATTACTAAAAAAATAGTAATAATGATTAATAAATAATAATAATAATTCAATGCTCTCTTTGAAAAACCCGCCAGCAATTCGAAACATAAAGAAAAAGAT